GGTGATTACTTCATCAGCACTGCTGGTGTTGGAATTTCTTTCATCTCGCCAACAATTGTTAATTCGTTAAATGAAATTTTCATGAGAGATTGGACATCTAAGTATGCTAAAACTATTAGGGAATTTTCGTTAGACGAACTTCCCACTTAGTTTTTCTGTTTCTCACAAGTCGAGCTTTCTATTTCTTTATTCTATGAGAAGTTAATTCTGCTGGCATTATCTTACCTACTTTGATATGAATCCTTCATAATTTCTGTGCCATCCTGCCGAAAGGAGAGGCGCGTGGTATTTTTCTCAGAATAATTTTATTTGTTTTTATTTTTTGAAATCTGATACTTTAATGGAGAGTGTATGAAATTTGTTTCATGTTAATTTGATCGACAGACGTTAAATTTGTTTCTTGCGTAGAAATTGATATTTGATATTCCTGTAATTAAATTTTTCAATTCTCATATAACATCAAAATGTTCTTTATCAATCATCGCCTTGTATAGTCTAAAAGCACTACAGTGAACTAAAATTTCATTTACGCCATTGTGAATTAAGATATCATGTTGTACGTATCTCGTCAATGACCTCATGTTTTCTTTACTCTTGCATAAAATGTCCCTGGCTATGCAATCGATTATTATTGGCTGGGGAATATGTTTACGTGCCATAAATAAAAATTTTTCATCTCTAGACAGAATTCAGATCAAGCTTAAATAATAGATCTCAACTTAATCAGAAGCTATCAAGAGATCAGTATTCATAAGTTTCTTACAAATTTCTACAATGAAAAACAATTTGATAATTACCTTTAGCAACGGAGAAAAGCTTGCGTCAATTCTTCTAAAAATTTCAGGAAAATCCTTCTTTGATGAAATAGAGTTTAGGTTTTTAGATTTTGTTGATGAAGATGTTGATTCCGGCAAATTTACTATGAATTTTTTGAAATATTAAAAATTGAGAAAATGATTCTAATGCATGCAATATTGAACCATCAAAACATAACACAACGCAATGTCTTCTATGTTCTTAATCGTCTGGTGAATTGTTCCAAGTTTTTGTGATAATTCCGTTGATTGATATCACGTTTCCTACAAAAAATGGAAGAGAAGTGTTGGTATTAAACGAACCGCATTTTTTAAAAAAGATTTATGACTGCAATATATCATCGAGGGAAACGTTTGAAGTCCTAGGGCTTTCTATGAATTTCAAGAATTGAAAATTCTAGTTCTTGGGTTCAAGAATTCGTATTTTTGAAAAAAAAAAATGATTTGCCGTCGCTTATATATCCTTCTGTATCGATTATGTCGTATCGGACACAAATGATAACAACAAGACTGCCATGGTCTTAAATCCAATTTCGGAACATTTGCACAAGAGTTGTAGGATTGAGGATGTCTACCAACAAAAACGAAAACATCTTGCTGGAAAAGTGAAAAGTGAAAAAATTTCTAGAAGTAGTAAGTTCATTCTGATGATAATTGATTAGATATGAGTCATTGGAATCACTCATTTCATAACCTAGTAAAGATGAATGGAACTACTTGTCTTGAGCAGCGGATTAATGAGATTCAAGATTCGTTAATTTCAAATTCTTGCTCACAGGGATGTATAACTAACTGCAGGTCAATGACAGAAAATTGACGAATGGGAAATATAACTAAAATTTGTAGGGAAGCTTCAGCTCAATTAGCATAATGGATAGTGCTTACTTGTACACTGGTGATATTATCAGCATTGTCACAAATGATCCGAGCCAGTGATATCTTTTTAATCTCCTTTCTCTGAGCTTCATTGAATATGCCCTTTTTTTCGTACCGAAAAGTTGTACTTTGTTGTTTGCAATTCAATACTAAACTAAATGGTAAGATTGGAAACATATGCTAAAATTAAAGTACATTTAAATTCAACGAACCAAAATCTATCACCATCACGTATACGCCTGAATTGTTCAGCTATGATACATGAAAATGTTGGACCGATCAACGCTCCATTGAATCGTTTCTCTGCCACACCACCAGCGAACAAATCAATATTACCTGTTAAATACAGGCATAATAGATATCTCCTTGTCCCGATCAACGATGCTATTAATCACATGCAATTCAATATTAAACTAAATGATAAGATCGGAAACATATGCTAAAATTAAAGTGCATTTAAATTCAACGAATCAAAATCTATACTATCACGTATACGTCTGAATTATTCAGCTATTAGAATAGAATTAAATTCATATAAAAATTAGAAATTTTTTTTTAACTAAAGCGAATCTCCCCTATACGACCTATCCATAAGTAGTCAAAAGCTGTAACCTGGATGACCATATAGATCTTTCAATTTATGAATGATTTCGTATGGCATTATATTCCTCAAATCATCCCAATTTTCCACTGATGATAGATTACACCATTTTCGAAATTCGACATACCTGAAAAGAGAAACACGAAAAGTCTCTTCAAGAATATGAATTATTGGATACATCATGTTAAAATCATTTAAACATGTCTAAATGATCTCTTTCATGATTCTAAAATATAAATTTTTTGCTTCAAAATTGTCATTCAAATAAAATGAGGTTCCTCATTCTTACCCAGGAAGAGCATGATCACGACCTCGCTGTATATTCATCGCAGCCAAATCCAGTGATACCGAAAATGAAAAAATTTTGTTGGAAAAAATTAAAAATTCCCAAACATTTCATCGAACAAAATTTGCGAGTTTTTGCAATTTACTACCCATAAATTTAACAAATTAACAGGACCATCACCATGATGTCATCGAGATTAGTCGTATTGACAAACTCGACAGCTTCTCAACAATTATTTTTACTCCGTTCAATCTTTCTATCTGATAGTTACGGCTACTCAATTTTAACTTTCTTTTGCTAGTTCCATTCTTTGTAATAAAGAAATTCGAAAAAAATACAAGGCAGCCAATAAAGGAAACCTTAAGTCTGGAATCTACTACGCATTTTCAAATTAATTCATACACGCTCAATAAAATAATTGCTGTATCTAATAAGACTTCAACGTAGTCAAGAAACGATTAAATCGTACTTATGAAGTTAGGCTACAAGTTATGCTTACTTCGTGTGCTCGATTAAATAGATTCTCAGTAAGTTCATCATTCATCAATTCATTCGATATTGGCTTCTTCATCGGTGTTGCAAACAAACCACGCAAATATGGGTCAACACTTCCTGTTGATAACAAGATTTCTGGTGCGAAGAAAGCATCTCTCAATAGTACATGCCCTTCCTTAATTGGTGCTAACTTTTCGTCAAGTCTAAAACACAAATATAACTCAAGATTTAAAAAATTTAAATATTATTCGCAAATTAAGAGTGTCGTATTTTAAGGTATCATATTACTGGCATAATCTGAAATCTTATAAGTAATACTTATTACTTCATTCATGCCTATAACTCATACGGATAAACTGCATGGATTCTAAATCCAGCTTCAGATTATTATATCATAATCATATCATCCTTTCGAACATCAATTTAAATGAATAAATGCTTAATTTGCACATTATTTATGTATTTATTTAAATTTTATCCAAGTAAAATAAAAATCCTAATTTGAGCTGTAATTTGCATTCCAATGTAATGAACACATGAAGTAAATAAAATATTTCAGAAAAACTAATGGAAATATTAAAGTTATACATACCTATATAAGATGGGATTAACCAATGTGTGCCCAAAACGAAATGCTGCTGTCGCAAATGCGTTTGATATACTAGCATCCAATAATGGTTGATAGCCTTTATATGGACCAATCAGCTTATCAAATTGCTTCTAGAACATCAAACTCATTAAAATAGTTTTTGGTGATAAGCAGTCCGGAAATATCAGAATTTGGCGATCATCAATTTTTAATTCAGTTGCAATTATGATATCGTCTTGTTTTTTTAAAACAAATTCAAATTTTAAAAATTTGATTCGTATTTAGATCAACATATTAAAAATAAACTTTTCCAAGAACTTTTGGCAGCCAATAATGGAATGTAATATGTTGCAATTCAGCGCCAACAATTTTTCGAGTTTCATGAAAAATCGTTTCACCATCAAGATCAGGATTTAAGTCAGCAATTTGGATTGCTAGTCTATTATGCTCTCGCATGAAAATTGTATGCATAGTCATTAATCCCAGCTGTAAAGAAAAAATTTTATTTGTTAAAAACTTTGCAAACAAATGACAAAAACGAAATAAACTGCGAATAAAATTTTAATATTGACTAACATTCTCTCTTTCACAACAAATAGGGTAAATTTAATTAATTAAATTATTATATGCATTTGTAATCTGTCAATAAGCTACTTCTTCTAACCTGTTCGTTAGCTCTAAAATCTCCAGCCAGAAAACATCGCATTGGATAATTCAAAGTCCAATTTCGTCGACAATCGACAGGTGAATCACGTTCAAATGGTAAATAAGGCTTATTTGCTGATGATACCATATCATATCTATTTGTATTTTTTTTGTTTTGTATAAATGAAATAAAATAGCAAAATCTTTTTAAGCAGACTAAAAAGAGGAAAAAATAAAAGTGGCAACTAAGTGAGTAGGAAGATATGATGAATATAAATATTTATTTTTATTTGCAATATTCAGCTAGCTCCCCTTTATTCATCATTTTTACTTTTCCTATTTAACCAACTTAATCTATTTTAGATTTCCAGTCTTAATCAAGTAAATACATCGAGATATTTCTAAAAGAAAAGGAAATCAATTGATAATACCAGAATATTACATTCACTACCTGAGTAAGCCTCGATCCGGACTTAAATGACGCAAATCATGTGCATCTTCTTCCGTACTCCCATATATCCCCGAAGCGTCAATGTAACTTGTAATCTGAAAGAAATTCTACTTCTTTTGATGATGAAAATTTGTCGAAACAGTTTAAAAAAGGAAAACTTGCAGTGTTCATTTGTTCACGATAAGTAACATGACGATAAATAAGTGATGTTTCACCAGAACCGCATACCGCACTTGAACGTTCGAATTCAATGCACGGATATCGTGGACTGTAAAAATGATTTTGTTGGAAAAGACATAGTGCGGAAACAGAATCAATTATTATTTGATTTACATCGTCAAACATCACTGCTGAGAAATATATAATTTGCGCAAACTTGTATCAATTAATTGAAAAATTGAGGATTGCAGGGAAATTTTAATCCATTCTCTTTCTTTTTCTTTATAGCAATTTGTTTTTGACAAACTTTGCAAGCATTCTTGGATCATCGTGCGCCAATGGTATATTGAAACACGGATTAAGATATTCACAGGTTCGATTACAAATAGCGCCCGTGGCAAATGCATGACGACTGATTGCTGTTGCAGTGAAGTCCAAATCATGATCTAAATTTTTTTGCAAGTTATAAATTTTCAGATTCAGCATTCCTGATTTAAAAAATTAATTCTTTTAAAGTTACCAATAAACTGTCCCCATTGCATTAGCATTGTCGAATAAGTTTCATGAGGGGTGATGTGGTTGGTTCCAAGAAGCTGAAATACAATTTATTCACTTCGTCAATTTCTATTAAATAGCTTAGCCATTTTCGAAACTGTTCTGCAAATAAATAAACCTTCTTGGATACGCTTCGTGCATTAGGTTTGCGGTAACCAAAATATAATTTGCTCGGATTCCATCCAATTGGCGTATTGAAGCCATTTTCGTATATTGGCGGTAATAAACGTCGGAAACGTGTCTGACTTGCACCCCACATTGTGTGAATTTCATTGTTGCATTGTCCATCATAAGTTCTAAAAATTTTTAACATTGCAATTTTTATTAATTGAATGTGTGTTGTTTAAAGTGCTAAAAAATTTAATTTCTTTCTCAATAAGTATAAATGATTTAGCTTTAGATTTGCTTGAATAATATTCTCCATTTTTGCCTTTCGCATCATCTCCTTTAATTTGGGTACATCTAGCCCGATATTAGCTGCTGTTTGCATTATGCCAGCCTCAGTTCTATCCTTTAAATTTAATAACTTATAAGTCTTCGTATTTATTATTATCAACGATTGTATAGCATGGAACTTTTCAGGTTGCAAAGGATTACAGCGCTAATAATGGTAAGCCACAAGGAATGACAGTAGCTGATTTAAATTATGATGGCAAGCAAGATATCATTAAAGGAAGTGTAAATCAAAGTGCTATTTTTACTGTTCAGTAACGGCGATGGAACATTTCAGCCTACGATAAATGATAGAATTGCATAATTATCTATGGTGTAGTAGTTGGAGATTTCAATAATAATGACAAACCAGATGTGGTTACTACTCATTTGAGGCGGAACTTTTTGAAATGTCCGATCAAACAAATCACGCCAGGATCTTGAACAAAGAGCTGACTAAACTATCAAAGAAATGTTAAGCTATCAAACCTATTTGCAGAATCAATGAAAAAAGAAATTTCAGTTTACCTGATTGTAATTAATAAAATTAAAAAATTGGGACCTGTAACGTGAATGAAAACACTGTTCATTGCAAGGATCTCGAATTTGTGCTCCCGAACAACCAGCTAGTTGTACTAGCATGTCAACATGAGATTTGGCAAGAACGGGTTCAATTGAAATATTTGACGAAAGTCTATGGAGAGGCAAAGTCAAACCTCAAAAATTCAAGGTTTTATGCTTAACATATCAAAACTGTCACTTTCTAACTTTCTCAAATAACCTGTAACTCGCAATTCAGAAACTTTTGCAGTTTTAATATAGAAAATTTACAAAGATTCTTACAATAAATGAAATCTAAGACTGCCTCATAATTTCAAGGTTGAGCAGTCGCCAAGGCAAATTTTGGACGAAATTTAAAATTCCTGAAATCTGTATACCTTTTTCGACATGTTTTTGAATAAGACGTATACTTTCCTCATAGATTTCTCGTGCACGATTTAATTCGATTGTTTGAGGAAATGAGAATTGAAACCATTGCAATAGCTCATGTGGATTAGTTATTTTCGATAATTTTTCACGTGTTTGTTCAATAGCACTGAAATTAAATTTTGAAAAAAAATTTATAATATAAATTTATTTCAGAGTTGTGGATATTTTTCCTAGCTATTGTAATTCCCGCAGAGTAGCTAACGATGTATCATTAGGATCAAATTATTTTTAATTTTAAGCAAACCCATCAACATTCTGTGATGCTTCCTGAAATATTTTATGGATGAAATGACCATTTAGTGAACTGTCATGAAATCGATTCTGATCAATTATTAAACGAGCTTCAGCAATCATTGAACCAACTGTATTACCAGCCATACATGAATATACACCTTCATCTCGTTTTGTTACTCCCGAAATGGTCAATTCAACTTCATCGTCTGATACCTAAACTTAGAAATTGATTTTATCTGTAAGGAAAGATACGAATGAATAAATGATGTAACAAATAACGTACTGAAATTGCTTACGTGAAAATGTCCTTTTAATAGGTGAATTTCACCGCCATTCAGGAACCACGTAATAAATGGGCGAGGTTCACCGTCAGCTCGACAACGGAATGTTACAGTTGAGCCTAGTGATACTTTCTGATTTTCTGGAGTTTCTGTAATAACAGGAGGAGAGCTGGAAATGAGACGAGCTTCTGCTGAAGTTTCAATTCGTCCATATTCATTCTCCGCAATGCAAGTGTACCTAAACAATTCATGAGCACACAACTCTATTAATCATTTTGACGCAACTTTTTATTCTTCTCACAAACTTAGCTGTTTATCATGCTTGAAGTTAAAATTTAGGTAGTATAGCAATTTTAAATACTGAAAATTCAGTAATCTTACTTTCCAACGTCCCTTTCAAGAAATGGATAAATGTTCAAGCTGGTATGCCCAATATTTAATTCATATTTCCGTGATCTTTTTAACTTTTTGCCATTAAAATACCAAGTTATAGAGGGTTGAGGCTTGCCAGTTACCTGAAATATATATCGAAAACTCTATTTATATTCGGTCATCAGAAACTAGAGATCTTCTAGTGATCTAGAGATCAAGAAAACTCTCTTAATTTCTAGAATTTAAAGAAAATCAATGAAGAAAAAGAACCTCACAATCAAGTCGAACGGTGGTTCCTTCACGATATGAACGATCTTTCGGTTTCAGAGTAAATTTTGGTGCTGAAGGGACGCCAAAAATTTGACGTGGAAATCGAAATTGGCTATAATTTATTCTTGAAATATATTTTAATGCAAAAAAAATGTATTTTTTGTAATTTTTTTAATGTAAGGAAAAAGAAGAGCGATGTAGCAAAAATTGAAGAAATAAAAATTTTATTTCAAGAAAACTTACGGAATGAAAGTTACATTGTAATCAATAGCGCATTGCAATTCGAACAACGAAATATTAGAATTTAACGATACCATACCATTTGATAGTATTTTGATTCCGTCCATATTATTATCATCCACTTTTTCTCCTCTTCAAATTATCATCGTAGCATTATTATCAAATCGATAAGTATGGATAGATTGATATTTGAGATATTTTCAATTAATATTTATTTCGTTCATTTAAAACTGATTACTTTCTAGAAAAACACCTTTTTTGTCGTCTTTTATAACTTGTATCCCTACTGCGAGAGTTTTATCAACATTTTAAGGAAAGGATGGGTTAAGAGAGAAAGAGAGAGAGAGATACGAAAGTACAATAACATTTCAATTTGAGAATTTTACTTGTAGATGAAAGTAATTGGTGTTTTGGTCTCGACCTCACATTTCGCATTACGTTTATTATCTAGTAATTTTGCTCCAAAGCATAGAAAATCGTTGCTTTTGAGTGATGAGAATTGTCGCCGACGAAGCATATCTGGGTAGTAACACACCGGTGATATATTGCAATGTTGATGAACAAAATCGGCCAATGATAACCATCTAAAATGATAGCAGTTACTGTATATTTATTTATCTCTAGCTATATAATCAGGAATTCTAATTTGCATTCCAGATTGACTATTGATGGATACTTTAACATCAAATACTATATTGCTTAGAAATTTTCTGATATACTAAACTTTTCGATTTATGCACCGAAAAAATTTGAGAAAATTCTTTACCAATTATTATCCTCAAAATAGCTCTTTACAAAATGATATTCATATAAATAATATTGCAAGAAATTCCCATGAAACACAACTTTTAGACAAAGAGGCGGTAATGGTTAGGAAACATACATGCGCCATAAATATATTCCATGAAGAAAATGCTATTGCACACATTCAATGCATTAATATCAAAAGTTTTGGCGTAATTCCACGCAAATTCTAAGAAGTAGGAATGGTTTTTAGACTCTTAAAAAGCTATTTCCTTTTTTATCTTTTCCAATAATTTGAAGAATTAAAAAAAATCTAAATTATCGAGGAATATTTGTGCTCTTTCTATTCTTATCCATTTGTTATACACAGACTGATGAAAAAGTCATAAATTAATTTCAATTGTGCAGTAATAAAAGGGATTTATATTATACCTGCAATCACAGTTCAGTGGATTACCGTTCAGAATGAGTGTTTTGAGTCTCGTCGAATGATCAAAAAAACGTTCTGGGAGTGTCTGAATGGCATTATCGGCCAAATTTAGCACTTGAAGATTTGGTATGTTCCATAATAATTGCTGATCAATGTAGTTAATATTGTTGAGTGATAAATCGATGTGATATAGATTGATGAGATGATGGGAACTGAATTTAGGAATTGATTTCAAACGGTTTCCTACCAATAGTAATTTTCTAAGGTTCGAAGTTCCATCCAATGTTCCCTGAATATTTGTTATAATAGTTCAATTATAAAATTTCAGTTTCAAGAAAAACACTGGGTTACTTTAATCATTTTTATAAAATCTATTTTAAAAGAAAATCAAAAATTTACTGGGAATTATTGTTTACATTAGTAAAAATACTGAAATTTAAAAAGGTTGAAAAAAATGCCTTTTCAAAAGTATGAATCCAATTCCATGAAATTAACAAAAGTTTTAATTTCTCCAAACTCTTGAAGTCACTCTTGAAAATCTTCATCAGACGATTATTTCGCAGATCTAACACTGTAGTATTCGCCGGTAAATATCGGGGTACAGCAAACAATGACTGTCGACGGCAATCAATCAACCCTTCATGGCATAAACATCGTTCTGGACACTGATCCTTTACCGCTTCATCGCTTATCAATGATAAAAGAAATGAAACAAAAGATAGCCACAACATTGATGGGATAGCAATTTTGTTGGCTAAGAGAAGCGCAAAGAAATAGAAGTTAATCGAGCGTTATTAGCGCCAACACATATGCTATTCGAGCCCTGAAAATAAGGCTGTGAAATAAAATGATTTGCTTTATTCGTACTTTATGCTTGGCTAATTTAGCTATTGTTAATGTTTAAGGAGCTCCATTTAGCATTATTCCCCTATTAAGCACATCCTTAGAAATATAAAATCACTCTGAAATTCAAAAATCTTTTTAAATTCTTTAAAATCCATAGAAATTCCAAAAATCCATCCTAGCAGCAATGAAAAAGTGTTTTCAATTGAAAAAGATATAACGATCTTCTTTTACACCTAACAAATGGCTCTTTTTTTCTACACCTAACAAAATAAAGTTTAAAATCTCCACCAATTGTTCGTTCATTTCTTAATACGATGAGATGTATTTATCCTTTGATTGATATCACTTAACTAACAAAGTAAATCTCTTTTCCTCTCTCTTTCTCTTTCTCTTTATTTTCCGTCTTTAAATTTTTTAACAAAATGTAATGAAGGATACTTTAATATTAATCTGAATGTTAGCATACTTCATTGATTAATTTTCCATGCTAATTCACGATAAAATCATTAAATTTCATTGCGAAAATAAATTCTTGAGACATTCTTCCTAATATCAATTACTCGCAATTGAATCAGAATATTCTTTTCTAAATAATCTAAATGCACGCAAAAGTACCTTTCCAAGCATCTCAAAACTAGATCATTCACATTGAGGTCAGCCTTGTAAATCAAATGACACCACTTCAAAATTCCTAATTCATCAAGCTAACACCAACGATTCTGCTGATATGCCCGATGGGAAATTCTTTAATTTAATCCAAGTATTAGTGGCAGTTATTACTCAAATAAACTTATTAAAGAACTAATAAACAAGACACAGTAATGCGAAAGTGAATAATAGACAGTTAGAAAGTCCACATGTTTAGAAAGTTTATCAAGTAAACTTAAATCATGAGAGTACGAAAAGCTTTTAAAAAATGCCATATGTAAGATCAAGTTTTCATGAAGATATTAAGTGGGAATATTATTATTAGTTTTTATGGTATGAGAAAAGCAATACCTCGAAATTATGAGCGATTAACATTTATTTAAAATCCATTACCGAATAGTTGAATATTTCATCACATTTCACTACAGGTTATTCTGATTTTGTTTTGGATAAATGCATTGGGTCCTAGACTAATAACTTCTAAGTTATCAGATCTGTAGCAGATCCTAAATTACTAGATCTTATGCCAACAGAAATGTCTACTCATGGTGTCTTTCCATATTCAAATCTTGGCAATTAATTTGATGCTCAGTGATTATTTTCATGATATGATGTTTGACACAAATTATTTATCCTGTTTAAAAAAATAATTTTCGCTTCATGAATGTTTCAAAATGGTTAAAACATATGAAAAGCATGATTTGCAACAAAGCACAATTTGTTTTAATAATTTAATCATTGTATAAATTCCATATTGATAATTTGGTATCTCTTGAACAAACAAACAATAATCGTTGACCATCGGTCTTAGTCCAGCATAAATAATTGATCGTTTCGGAATGAAAATCTAGAACGGCTCTGATTGCTCCTGTTCTGACGGAATTTATACGCACCGTTCCATTCCAGTATCCAGAAGCAAGCTCTTTGCCGCAATTTGAAAAGGCCAGAGAAGAGCAGCCACCAGCTCTACAATAAACTTTTTATATGAAGATGGAAAAATTGTAATTAAAATATGCCAAGCACTATTTCCTCAAACAATCCAATTTTTGTGCATTTTAAACTAAGGTAGCCTGGAAGTTTTAAATGGTCTTGAAATTCAACATATCTTTACCAATCTAACATTAACATTACACTTGGAACTCAGATCAATGACAGGAAAGGTGTATACTTATAAAGGTAACCAAAAACTTCAGCATAAAGGCTGACAATTGATTTATAAATCTAATTTTTCAGATATATCATTCAAGAAGTGCTGTTTTTTCAAGCAAATTAAACAGTTGCCATTAGAACTATTTGTAGCGTGTATCCAAAATAAGTATTCCACTCGACAATTATTCACTCAAAATTACAATCCGGCAAAAACTTACTTCTGCGTAAATAAAATTTCCTTCTCAACAGTGATCCCATCCGTTGTCACATTTATTACCATTAACGGAGATTTAACAGAAGATACAGCTAATGTGTTAGCAAATGATGCACAAGCAAGAATAGGTTCGGGAAAAAGTTTTTTCTGAAATAAGTAATACAAATAACTTGAAAAGAATCAAAAATTACTTTACAAGTCGTCGACAAATTAATTAATCACAGACTAATAAAAGTTCGGTTAATATCAAATTTACTACAAACCTCATCTATAATACTGAAATTTTCAACATTCACAACTTTTATTTCCCCCGTTTCGAAACCACAAGCCAAATATCCATCATCCGATATAGAGAAGGCCATGAAATTTCTAGCGTCATCATCAGGAGACCAGATTCGAGACATTGGCTCTGTTATGCCGGCGAAAACGCCAATTAAGCATTTGTCATCCTCAAAGAAATATATTCAAAAAAAAAATTAAGCATGAAGATGGAATAAAAACTGAAGCTGCAAAAAAATAGAACTAAATTAGAAGTACCTGAAGAAATGGACAAAATAACTGACATTTATGGCAAAATGCACCACAAAAACCGTAAAATTCTGTCTGTATTATCCTTGTGAAACAAAAGTTTAATTCCTAAACAATAAAACAGTTAAGTGAGAAGTAAAAGTATTCGTACAAAAAAATATCGCTAAAAAACTTAATTCAGTCTGCATGCAGCATACAACCTAGCTTCGACAGAAGAGGCGGTTGTTTTCCTCAATGACGTACTCAATATTTCTGTTTGTCCTAGTTTGTATTCACGCAAACAATAATGAGAAATCATAACCTTCGAAGCTTTGTCTACAGATAATAATACAATTGCATAAGCACGAATATGTATAAATATGCAATCCTTCGTAAATTGTCCCACTGCTACTATCGATCTATCATTCGGATCGACTGGAAGGAAGTACAATTATGCATTATGAATCTTTATAAGTTCTCACCAAATAATCAATGCAGATCACTAAAATACAACAACTGAGATGTTGCCAATACAAAAATGTGTTAAAACCGACAAATTTCCCATTAAGTATGAAAATTAAAAATCCAGTTCAATAAGAAACTGTATTCAATGATGTAGGATCAGAAATAGCAGTAAATGCCCAGGTTCACACATCGTTTATAACTAATCTTTATCATTAATTACCTAACTAAAATTAATATCGTATTAGAACCTTGAGCAATGTGGAAATATTTCTATACAGTTCTTTTGCTTTGAACAATATCGATGCAGTATCAACATTTTATCAATACTTGAAGGATTCTATCCGTAAGTAACCTTCCCATTACATGTCGAAATGCTTCCAATTTACTATTAACATTAAGAAATATAACTTGGTAAGCAATATTTTGTATTATTAAAAATGAAAACTAACCGTAAATTGTAGAAGTGGATAAATGAGTTCTGGATGAAAATAGGATACACTTCCCATATGTGGTGCCAACGGCCAACTGGGGTTCATCATTTATGCAGATCATTGCGGAACACGAAACACCACCAGCGAAACCGTAATGAACGAATAGAGGAATCGGTTTCTTCATTGTTCTCGACATACTAGCTTACCTCTCATTCTTCTTAGTTTCACAACACCAATTAACACACGTGCGCATATGTACTCATGTATGTTGTACTACGTGTCTTTCGTATCTCATAAATTAGTAGCAAAATTATTTCAATATGCATTCAGCGTCCACAGCCCACAAATCAACGTTTTCGCAATCAGCAAGCGCCACTTAAATAATTCACATCATTAAGCAGATAAGCTTTACAGTTCCCACAACATCCCACATCATAAAATAGGTGTTATTGAGAATTGCATGTCCAAAAAAGCGTTCTCACATGTTCTTCCATTCTAATATTCAAAGCGTACTTGAGGCTCACTTATCCTTATAAAAATATATAGTATTCATCTCCATCAAAATTTTATTACACAAATCAATCTGTCTTGTATCATTGCGATGATTTTTAACTAGTATTGAATATAGCTTTCTGTACTTCGAATATCAGTTTTAAACGTCACTGAACGAAAAGAAAAAGCTGACAAGCAATCCCTCAAGTAAATCATTCGCAGTAAAATGAAACATATTTACGGATAACATTTATAGATGCTTGAAACGTTTGCAAAATGATTTACTGTTCTCATTAATCATGATATTCGAACAAAAAAAAGAAAAAAATCACAATAACAAACATATCATCTGAGATCCTTAGACATCCTCCTTGTTTTCCGATCTCTCCTAAAAAAAGAACATTACAAAAACAAATTAAAAGAAACATTCTATCCATAATCGATTTAAAAGCGTGGTATATTTTCTCTTTTCTGAAACATTAATGAGACATAATATTATCAAAATGTATTATACCAGACTATTTTCTCGTTAAAATGACGTTTTTTTCTTATACAAAAAATGAAAACTATCTTTTTTTTACCGATTTATCAGACCGTTTAGATTCATTCATTGAAACTTATGTATACAGAATCAACACCATTCATAATCACTAAATTTATGAAGCTTATTTGTTTAACACATGTTTTGGGGAATAAAAGATGATGTTTATCATACAATAAGCATAAAAAGAAAATCTTGCCCATTAAACCATTATATTTTTTCTAATCCATAATCTATCTTTAAGCACAATCTTGTTCTGGTGAACATGGCTATAAAAAATCTAGTAACAGATATTTCTGCTCTTGTCTTTCATTTGAATAAAAGTATTGATTAATGTTATAATGGTAAATAGTTCCTCATAAAAACTCCTGTTTATACATATATAGTATCACATCATTTGTAATCCATATAATTTATAAAGTTTAATTGTTTAACACAATTGTTTTATGAATAAAAAGTGAGTCTGTTATAGGGCTCAAAAGTTCTTTTCATTCTCTCATGAAGATTCGCCGAAAAGAATTGTTATATTTTGCTTTTTTTTAAACCATTAAAGCACATTGTAATGATTTGAAATGTATATAATGAAGCTCATTCACTATGGACAAAACCCTACGAGAGAAAAAAACTGGAGAAAAAACAATGTCAAAAGAGTTCGTGATAGTTATCATCATGCTTATGATAAATCCTGTAAAATAACTCTTTTGTAACACACACATTTTTTGACTTGAAGTATATTCGTTACCGCACTATATGCTGCCATGTGAATTTGGGTAATAAAAACTGCCAATCTCAAGTGAAAAACCAATTCGCAGAAAAGTCTTAAAATCAACAAAAAATCAAAAAATAAGCTCACCGATCGATATTCCATAATAATTTCCCGAACATGATGATCAATTTTTTTCTGCTGATGCGCTGATAATGATGGAATATAATCTCGTAATGAGCCCAAAACATCAATATCTTCTTTTCGCGACTGTTGCAACAACTCATCAAATTCGTTATTTGTTAAAACTGTTAATATTGCCTGAAATTTGAAATCAGTCTGACAGCAGATCAAATTCTAAGGTACATGAATGCAAAACAACATTTATATGTTACCGAATCCAAATAAGTAGCAGTAAGCATTTAAACTTGCTTATCAAATACGAGCAAATTATGTTTAGCACTTGTTGCACCTAAAAATTTCAACCTCCATCACTGTAAATTATTTATTTTTCATTTCATATTTTGAGAAGTTGAGATATTTTCTACGATTTATTGCATGGATAATATATTGGAAAAGTGACCACAAAAATACCCGGCGTTGCAAAATCACACCCCACCCTTTAATTCCTAATAGCGAGGAAGAATTCGTTGTGAAAAAAGCCTAAAACTACAAGGTATATTTTCTGACTTCTAATTTTTAAAAAATAACTAACAAAGTAGGAATGTGGAGCATTTGCAACAGCACAGCGTACAAAATGGGGCCATAAATTTGGATTGCTCTTCCATGGTTTTTTGTTAGCAATTTTCACCAATACATTTGAAATAAAACCACCCAAAGCAGGAAATATTTTATGCGAGCGTGTAACAGTATAAAATAATAGTTCTGAGAAAATTCCATCATCACAGAGCTGGTCAATTGCTGAACCTATAGCATCCTTTGAAGTTGTCAGTTGTGTTAATAAAACATCGATATCTGAAAATGCATTGTAATGTAATAAAAATAATTTTTCCCTTCGATAAATAACTCACGTCCCTCCATTCCATACTTGATAGAGAGAAATGAATAAAAATGAGGTATGTTAATCTAACAAATTTAATAAAATTCAATCAATTACTATCAAAAATTTCATGTACCTCTTCATCATTCTCTATTTCGAAAGCCACAAATTAAACGATTAACAAGCAAAAGACACTTTGGCTATCCAGCATAAATAAAAACTAACTTTGCAGTAGCAAATTATTCTCCTCTTTATTTTCGGTGTGGATTTTATGCAACGCCATAAGCAGTTCACCCGCACCCATTGGATGAAGGCCGGTTTTGATACCTGAAATTTACCAATTAAAAAAATTAATAATGAATGGCAATTTATCATTTCAAACTCATTTTAACTTTGCACTTACTCCTTCCAGCCAAAAGTTTGTTGAATACAATAGGTACTGATTTCTGATTGACCGGCGTGAGGACAAACTTTGGTAAAATGCTCAATATTTGATCCTAAAATCATCATACTAAGTTGCACATTTAACTCGCTAAGTTAATAAAAGTTCCCAAATACGATACATATAGAATCTTTCAAGTAGAATTTCCAATTTATTTCACCAAACCCTGCAAAATAGAATTAAAAGCTACCACTTACTTTTGCGAAACTATAAAGTTCCTCTAACAACATTATATTTAAATCATAACAAATCGACAACCTTATCAAGACCGCTCAAAACCGGTATCATTGAGCGAACATCGGTTCTTCCCTGTTCATAGAGTGCAGTTATCCTATTTACAAGATCCTGGGTTGGAGGATCTATAACAATGTAAATTAATTTTTGAAACTATGGCACACTCCTAAAAAAAGTTTGTAAAATCAAATCATAAATAAATTGCAGAAAGCACTTCTTTCAGTGAGAAGATGTACTATTCTAGCAGCAAATGTTTCAGCCCCCTGAGGACAATTTTCAATCATTTCCAATAGATGTTCGCTTGCTGCGCCCATTGACTTTATGGCACTATCGATTGTACGCAATGTAACCTGAAAACAAATTTTTTTCTTCCGGTAACAACGCGATTTTATAAAAATTCAATGTGTCTTTCGAACTAAATATTCTAATCAGCTTACACTTGAAAAAAGTCCCAAAAAATTATTGCAAGAAAGAAAAATGTTAAAACGATCTGTGATTTACTTACGAATTCACGACATCACCATTAGTCAGCAAAACAGGGAGGCGAGTTCAAGCTAAATATTTTTCTTTTCAAAACAGTTCGGATTCAATAAAAATGTTTAAAAAAATTTTTAAACTCTTCAGATGAAACTCCACTTTTCCTTCTTGCTTTGCACGCAAATACTAATAAATGATAAAAGTACTAAAAAAAAGAAAGGTAAAAATTAGTTTAACAAGAATTCCAGCTATACCCGTTTTATATCGTTTGAGGATTTCGCATAAACAGCAGCCAGAGTGTGTATCAATGAATGGTCAAGAGGAAGGATAGATAAAAATAAGTTTAAAGTAATGCGTATTGCTGCATCATCCCATTGAGGTCTGGCACCTTCTTTTTCATAGGCATAAAGTTGTGGCGGCGGGACTGGGCTTGTGCAATAATTTATTGAACAAACTAAATATTCTCTGACATCTTCTCTGAAAAAAAGATCTCATTCATATTTTAGAAAATACAGTTACAAATTTTTATAAAGATCGATAAAAACTTACTTGACGTAATCGATCTGATACAGTTCCTTTGCTGTTTCAACACTTTGGATGCGGACGTCAGCCCTATCACTGTATGAGAAGTCAAGAAGTATACAAAGCAATTCATTTCGTTGCCTTGCTCTAGTTAAAATTAATTCACGCAAAGTTGTCATTCCAAATGCACCAAATACCTGCAATTCTTTAGAATCCATTAAAAAAACCACTAATTTCCTAACGAGTTATGAAGCACTTTTACTGAAAAAGAATGAAAATTAACACTTACCGAATCGAGGCAAGCAGTTCTTAACCATACGAGAGACTGAGGTGTTAGCAAAGGTGCTTCCAGTAAAATTTTATGGAACAAACTGCAAAAAACAAAGTTAAATTTGCAGAAGCATTAAAATTTGTCCGTATAATTTAGAGAAAATGGGTGAAATTTGGAGCGAAATATTACGTTTCCTTGTGCTCTCCTCGTTCATACAATGTCTTCAACAAATTGCATAAAACTGCATTATAACGTTGGTAATGTCGAGATTCACTATGATATCCTTCTGTGGCATAAAACGTACAGCATAGGGAGTATCTAAATAATTAAACTAATTTCTTTTCTACATTAAACTTACAACGAACAAACAGTTAATATAGACACAATTTTTCACAGAATGCACAAATATAAACATATTTTTGCAATTTCAATCAAAAACTATCGACAGCAGTACCCTTGGAACTGTGCATAAAGTTCTGCTATCCATAACAATGCTAGCTCAGTCCGTGATTTTTGTTCCTGTACAATAAAACTCATAAGTAAATCTTCAAATTCAGCGCATGAATCATGATCGAGACGAGTTACAAGCCTGACCAATAGTTTCTGTTGCGCAACACCTACGCCACCTTGGATTGCTCTTTCTATAAGTAAACAACTTAAAAAACGGAAGATTTAAGTTACAATCTAGAATAAATAAATGAACAAGCAAGTTAATATAGTGTACTGTACATAGAATATGAAGATAAAAAACACAAGACACACTCCTGACTTGATAGTCTTTCCTACGTATTTCGAAAAATTGTTAAGAATGAGAAGTGCTGGTATTCACTAATAATCTTTCACTAAAAAAACTAGAGGGTAATCCACAATGGTTTACACACTTTCATTGGCTAATATTCGTTGAAACGCAAGAAGTATAAGTTTCAGCGATTGTTCACGATCTAATTCTTTGGTAATAGATAGCAATCCAAACTGAATCTTCGGTTTAGCCTTTGCTGATAAAGCCTGAAAAATGCAACTAACTTGGAATTCGAAAAAAATAGCAATTCGAAAAGAATGATGGATATCTAGCGATAATTATTTTATAAATGAAAATTTTTATAAAAATTTTATAAAAACTGCTGGCAGTACAGAATCAGATTGCAGCGTTTGATTTTGCTGTACAGAGGCAAATTGGTTCAATGGAGTCGGCGAAATGACGGCACCTTCCATTCTCGCAGCTTGACGAGCTGAAGAAATTTTTAATAATTCTCAAGAAATGTCAGAAGCGTGCATGGCTTATGTAAATTACTCAACCAGACAGTAAGAGATGAATATATGGTTGAACTTACTTTCCTCGAATAAAAAATTCAATTCTGATTACATATATTCATTTTGTAAATAAATTCGTAAGCAGTGTTCAGTTCTCCATCATTTATTCAGTGATTATAAATCTGAGAAAATAACCGATAAACTGTTGTTTTTCTGCTCGAATTTTCTCGAATCCAGGACCTAATTCCATGCTCGTTAATTGTGTTGCAATCATGCGTGACAAGTGCCGAATCTGACCTTCTGTGCCAGCTGCAGCAATAGAGGTGTACAATGACTGAAATGCTGCAGGCATTTCGTCTGGAAGTGCCGCCTGAAAGTACAAATTAGCCTTGAAGCGAGAGCAGATTTCACTCTAGTCAAGTAAAACTCACTGACTAATTTGTGATTTGCAGTGGACTGCAAAAACTGTTAATAATATAATTGACTCACAAGGGATATAAGAACTAAGTCTGTAACCAAATTTGGTTTCAACCGTTCGTAGACAAATTGGGCAGTAATATCAATAGCAGACTGAGTCTGACTTTTTTCCATACACATGCTTGGGCCAGCTTCATCTTCGTATTCTTCATCATCTACTTTTTCAACAACTATTGGAGCTTCTCCGGCACCCTTCAAAAATGACATAAATGACTAATTGAAAAAACTTAGATGAAAATTTGTGCCAATAATCCACGTCTTCCACTGCTATTATCCTCAAGTCACATACTATTATCTTCAAATTCCAAAATTAATGCTTCGATTGTCAATTTCAGGTTCTTGTACTTTTCGAAGCTTAGTAAGGCAAGTAGCGAAAAGGGCAATGGCAGCGTAGTATTGCATATTATAACAATAATAAATCTACAAAAACTTCACTTTTGTTCTCTTTGTTTCCGGTTCATCATTATTTTCATTACTACGGTGAGATTTTTTACGCTGTTCACTCGCAGAAGGTAGTGCGCGTAAAACTTCCTGCAAAACGAAAGCTGTTGCAATTATTGAAAGAAAAAGTACATTTTAAGAGGAGCAATTATTTTCGATGTTGTCTATTTTATCAAAGTTCAACCTTTGTTTCAGTTTTGAAAAAATTTTTGATATTCTTTAAAGTGAATTTGAAATTACCGACTGCGCCGCTCCTAAATCTGTCAACAGTGTCATTATTCTTGGATGAAAAGGTATACTACTGCAATGTCGAAGAAGGCGTAAAAGATGCATTTTCAATTCCTTGCGAACGCTTTTCACTTGACTCGTTGCCAAAGTTGGGGGAAGATTGACGTGTAAAGCTTCCAGAGTTCCTAAAACCACAGCATTAGATTAACTTGATCCAAATAAAGAATTTAAAGTAATCAGAGAAAATTGAATTGCACATCATTTCATTCTAAAAAAAACGAAAATCTTAAAGAAATTTTTTTTCTTACTTGGTATACTAAAAAAAATTGAATGAGACATAAAACCAAACAAATTTCAAACAAAATATACGAGATTGATCCAACAAATTTCAAAATTCATACCAACAACCCTTTGCATAAACTGTGGACGCTGTTGAGCGATATTGCAAATACAAGTCAAACAAGTTAACAAATTGAGCGAAGATATATGTGCCGAAGAAATATGATCAAGCAGCGAATTAAAATTTAGCGTCGCTTCACCTTCCATTTTACGATATGAAATAAACCGATGGTCGCGGCCAATTTCGTTTAAGCACATGTTATCACCACGACCTTTTTCACTTTCCTAGATAGAGCCAATGAAGCATAACAGTGCATGAGTGAAAGTACATTTCAAAATCTTAATGTTGAAATATCCAGATCTAATGGAAAAAAATGAAAAACGAACTTACCTCCGTTCGCAGTGTTTGCGCAAGGATTACAGCTTCCAAAAATCTAATAGTTTGGGTGCGTATGCTGTAAATGTTAAGTATTTATCGACAGAAAGTCAACTAAAATAAAATCACTAAAAAAGAGAATTATATAAAATTGCACGCTAATAAGTATCATAAAAACCATACCCTTCGTTATCAGAATCAATGTGCTGCATGATACGTCCTTTCAGCACTGAGAAAGCTTCCCAACATCGTGCGGTTTCAGCGCTGCGTGATCCCGCTGCCCATTTTAAAATAAATGGATACAATTGCGAACATACTGTGATCACCTTCAAATAACAATTCTTGAGATTTTCAAAGAAAAACAAAAAAAATTAACTCCAAGGAAACGGAAATTCAATTAACTTGTTACAAAACAACAAGTTCAAATGAGGCTTCGAATATAATATCTGAATTAAGTTATCGCTTTATTCACCAACATTAACACACTTTAACTACTTCGAAGTTTATAAAGAGAAAGATTATGCATTATCAAAATGTTTGTTCTAAATTAATCTGGATGTCAACACAAGTTGACTTATTTATGGAATTAGTTTACCAATAAAATCTACAGTCTACCTTTTTGATGACGGAAACCATTCCCATACCAGCAGCCTGAATGAGATATGAAAGCGAGACAACAGCCTTTTTCATCACTTCGCAGTCCTTTTTACTATAATTAAATAAAAGGTACATAGAGAAAATTGTCTACTGAAACTTCGAAACATTTCGGAGTATAAACAGAAACTCTCAACATACCAAGCTTTCTCAATAAAGGATGCAACGAAGCAACGCATTTTCGAATCGTTTTCTACTACAAATTCGAGCATTTCATCGAGGAAGTTGTCAAGAAGAGAACTGCTTTTGTCTCTGTGCAATAGTAACTCCTGCGCCTATAAATATTTGCAAAGTTAGGATATGCTTTTAACAACGTGTGAGAAATTATTTGGGATGAATTCAAAAATTTACTTCAATGATATTTTAACTCGTAGTTCTTGACAGTTATGATAGAGTACGAAGTCAATTCTTTAATTCATTTAATATTTTCAACTATCAAAGTTTAATGAGATTAATTCCAGGGCAACCTCCTGCACATTCCTGATTTCTCACTTTTTTCACAGCTGATTAGTACTCCTTTTGCCCTCAAAATTTGGATTAAAAACAAATACCCTATAGAGGTGTTTGATACGGATATCCACTGATTTACCAGACGACTGATGAGCTTCGCGTATTTCATTTCCAATCTGAAAATTTTCATCCAAATTTTAATCTATTCTCAATGATGAGGATTCCTTCTTTCCTGGAATGTTGGCAGTTAAGAAATGCAATCCATATTTCAGTAAAATAAAAACTTGACTAAGATTGAAGATTAAAAAAATCTTTGCAAAGAAAATACGTGGAAATAAACTAACCTCTTCGCTTGTATTCTCACTATCCTCCATCTTTACAGTAATTCCAATGATGTTCTCGTCGCAATCAATTTCTTCCTTTAAATAATACACATCTATGCATATATGATAAATGAACAATCTTACAGTAAAGCAATCATTATCATATTCATTTCCCTCAGATCTTTATTTAGAATACAAATTACGAACAGTAAAGATAGAAACGAAAAAAGGAACAGAGGATAGATAAAATGTATATAAATGTATTAATTTCCAAACTTCTCAAAAAACAAATAAGCGGAGAAAAAGGATTACCTTTCTAAATATCTAAGCCTATACCGAGAATATGCAAAAAAAAATCTGCCAACCTAATTCCCCACCTTCTGCACAACTCCAATCAAGAAGTATTTTATCTTTTTTGTTAACTGGCTTTTGGCGACTTACGTCCAAACCTAAATGGCTTGCGAGAAGTTGGAAGTGTGAAATTGGTCGGGGATATGTTTAAGTATTTTGGTTGGAAGGATTTGTTATGTCCTCTAATATATATATATTTTAGGATAATGACTACTAACAACAGCGATGGGAGTAACCCAAGTTTATTCGAGACGTTCAGCAATAAATTGAGTAAATTTGATTTCATTACGTTCTGAGAGTTTAAAGTATTTAGTACAGTGCATTTTTAGCGGTGAAACAATAGCTTTACCAACCTATCCGGTGAAGCATTCATTTATTTTCTGAATGTGAGATTCGTCAACTGTAACTGATTCATGTGTGGAAAATAAAATTACTTAAGTAAGTGAAATAATGTTTACAAGATTAGAAAAATAATCAGTCTAGATACCGTTCGATCTAATCGTTCATTGGTTGCTGCAAATCAACAACTTCGAGTTCAACTTGCATTCACTAAAGCAGAAATCAATCGACTGCAAAATGAAATCGTTGATTTGCAAAAACGAATTACTGGACTTGAATCAACAAGTGACGAAGAGCGTATCGAAATGATTGTGAGGAAGCGGTTACAGGCTTGTTTTTTCTATTTAGATTGTTTCAGGCTTGTTGATAAATCGTTGCATTAATTAAATTAATCAGGTTTAGATAAATTGATTGAGAGAGAAAAGGCAGATAAGGTCCATGAGGTGTTATGCTTAGTCATTCGAGCCACATTACATAGTGATGCTCTATATTTAAACTGTACTATTTTATTGAGTTAAAATTGTACTGTTGAGTTAAACTGCACTATTTTCTCTTTTGGCAGAGAATACCTCATCAATTCTTTCGTATATATTTTTGCTTTCAGTTAAAAAAACTGCGAGAACTGAATAAGGAATTTTATTTTGCAGCAAAGAGTACAGCACTTGAAATCTATCGCTAGCCGTACAGTGCAGTATATGGAAAAAACAAAAACAGATTTTGATCACGCAGCAAGTCGCCTCGATCACGCTCAGTTAGAAAAATTTATTTTTATATTTTGTTTGTTCGTTTTATTTCTTCTATAATGAAATTGACTTTTTAGTTTGTCAAGTAATTTCGATGACGGCGCCACTTATGTAGGCGAATGCAGTCAAACTGCTACAGTGCCATTATCGTGCGGAACAGGTCTCTTTATCATGTTTTATCAGTTTTTCTTCTTTTTTCTCTTTATATTTTAATATACACTTCCATATAGTTAATTTGATGAACATAATTTAAGGAAACGAAATCGTTGGATGTCGTGTGCAGCGGCCATCTACTCTTGAAGTTGTGGAAGAGGTGGATTATTTGCTTCTTTATTATTTTCTATCTTAGTCATAACTTGAATTTTATTTTTCTGGCATGATCTAATCATTAGTGTTCAATCGATCTGTTTAAATTGGCATTATTTCCAATGTTTAGGATGTTTACGGTGAAATGGATGAAAATGATGTCATTTCCGATAAAGATCTGATCATGCCTATAACCGGCGATAGGTTTAAACGATCGCCAGATGGTCACACATCTAGTCGTAATAGTCGACGGGAAACTTTTTTTGTCAAAAAGGAATCTCATGAATCTGGTTAGTTTTCACTCATGTGATAGAATTTCAGGAAGATTTTCAACTTGAATCCTTGCTTTTCCTGCAAAATTTTCAGCAATAATTGTTCAACTGATTTAAATTTCAGAGCAGATAATTTTTATCGGTTTGTGTATTTTCAGAAAACGATGTCGAAACTTCCTTTGTTGAAGTATCTGGAACGGATCAGATGGTTTCTTCTTTCTTAACTCAGAACCATGAAGGTTTTCACTCTGAATCTTTTTGTTTTAGTTTTTATTTTTCGCTGAAATTTTTAAAGTGTTTGAATCAAGTAAAACCAAAGCTGTGTTACAGATCCACCAGCTGTTTTGACGGAACTTATAGCGCCTACTACGACCTCTCTACCTAAAACTCCCACTGTATTCTCCAAGCTTGAAACAACAACTACCAGGTCTAGATCTAGATCCTTTAAAGCGAAAACGCCGCATGATGAAAATACTCCAGCGAAAAATAGCCAAATCATGAAACCTGGAATTGTTACTCATAGCAGAAAGAAGAGGAAAATTTCAATTAACGGAACTCCGAAGTAAGTTAATTATTTAGAAAGTGTGATTAATATCGGTTAGAATTGTTTTGATTTTTTCGAACCTCTGGTAACTTCTTATTTGCAGAAGATGTAAAAAAAGTTCGGAAAATAATACAAAAGCTATGAAAGAAATCAACAAAGTATTGATAACACCAACGTCTACATCTACTGGCATTCTGAGCGTGGCAAATTTAAATCAAGATGTCAGATGCAAGCGTGTTGCTGCGGCGAAGATATCATCTTTCAAGGAGCCAAATTTAGTATCTAAAATGCGAAATACAAATGTTAACTGATGCATTTAGTAGTAGGAGATTGGGAAGAATGGAAGGGAAACAGACCAATTTATTGCTTGGCTTTGAGACTGCTAAATATTCATTTAAATTATTGTATACTGTGTTTTAAAAAGATGTATGAAGGCAGATGATTTTTTACTGTTCAATTTTCTATTTTTCATTGTATTGATTTGTGATTTTCTAGCCACATTTGTTTAAAATAGATGAATCTCTTACACTTTACACATTATCATCTGTGCACAAGATGAATCGTACCTTAAAAAATTCTCATTGGGAGAGTGACCTAAAAAGAGGTTCATACTCATTGAGTTATTTATTTGATCAGGGCTGTTTACCATATGCAACTGCATAAAACGGATCACTTATTTATTTCCTAAAATAAGAAGAAAAGTTTCCTACTGTCGAACTGATTAAAATATTAAGTGAACTTTATTTCTGCATGACCAACCAGTCATTATCGTTGATGATTTCCAATATTGAATTGAAAGTGGAGTGGAGATTGTATTCGAGGAAATGTAGGACTTGAATTACGTATCGTCCTTAGATTTGGAGGTCAAAAGTCGTAGACCTTAACATCAATTAGTTAGCATTCGTTCATCTAGTGAGGTTCCAAATTTTGCATTATGTTAGTGGCGTGTGTACATAACAGGAATATTACGATCAAGAGTTGCTATATCTCTATGCCAAACTAATTCGTAGATTGTAATACAGTACTTTTGCTTTCATCTTTTAGCAGCAGATTGCTGCAGAAAACTGGGCCCATCTTTGCATTCTCTCTATCATAAATAATGTAGTCCAGATTAATAGTTTCAGATTTTGAAAGTGATTTGGAAAATTGAACTTGCAAATTACACGATAAAGGCATTACAACAGTCAGTAATCCAGATACAATTTCCGAAATGTCGTTTACATTTCTTGAAATGGGCACAGAGAGTGTTGCTTCACGCTTGTGAAGAAATTTACAAATTGCAGATTGCTATTCGGAATCGTCATTATTGTTAATGCTTCATATAGGTGAACCTCACATCACCTTCGAGTCGGGAAGTGCTCTGAGTGAAATCTTTTATGATGATGTTAACAAAAAGGTAACCATGTTTGAAGGAAATGAATGAATCAGGAAAAAGTTTAAATGAAGCGGTTGCTTCATCCCGACTAGCGATCTTTGAAATTGCTCACCTTACTATGATTGCTATGGATCGTTTCTAATTTTCGGTGTTTTTTCATTTAGATTGTGACAGTTCGTGGCGATGATATTGTAGAAGTAAAAGCCTATGGACTAGAATCAAACGAGGTTGCTTCGTTTCGGTAATTTTAATTTCTAAATTTTAAATACTGTTGGAAAATATCGTTCTCCATCTCCTGCAATGAATCCATTATTTTGAACCACATTATGTGATTATCTTTAATGATTAAAGTCGTTTGCATCGCTCGCTTTTTTGATTTTTAGATGGATTTTCCAGCATGATAAATGAATTTTTTTGCAAATGTTATTCAAGGAAGTATATCCTATTAAGGATGATATGATCCTTACGATCTATATTTAAGATTGAAGAACAAGAGTAAAATTCGAGCTATCAAATTTTCTCCTGATAAACGCTTAATATGTGTGCAGTATGATGAATCTATTGTTGTAAGTTTTCCAAAATGACTGAAATTTGAAGGATAATTGTGGTTGCACACAAAAGTACGTATTTAACAGAAGATTCCTAATGCTTACATCCTTGGAAGAGTAGCATTATGAAATTCAGTTCATGATTAATAAAAAATTCAAAACACGCAAATTTGATCTGGTTTTCTGAATTCCATTTTTTAATAAACTTAATAATTATAAAAAATATGGCATACCAGCAATGATTTTATAATAGTCTATATTAAAACAACAGTATATTTATTTTAAGGATTTTTTAAACTGCGTGGACCTTAGTACTAATGCCTTATCTACGTGTTTTTCACAGTCAACAAAAAATCGTTCAGCACATATCATCGGCTTAGAATGGATCCTGAACAGCGAAATTCTCTTCATTACAAATCAGGTTTTTATTTAGCTTGGAGTCTGACTTGGTTCTTATCATTTGAAAATTCCTTTTTTTGATTTTTTGAAATAGTAAATGGATATGTAGCCATTTTTCAAATTAATCAAATATGTGCGAATTCACTTTTTTGCTTGGTACTGTTATTTTCATTCAGCTTTTTTAGGGATTAGAATTGTATCAAGTGAATCCAGAGAAAAAATCAGTTAAGCTGTTGAAATCGTACAATATTTCATTATACTGGTATTTATATTATGTAAGTTCTGATATTTACACTTCAGATTTTTCTGAATTTGGTTTATTTTTAACTTTGTGTTGCTTAACTGTTAATTGCCTCTGTTTAATATTAAAGAGCTAATACTAATCCTGAGCGATTCGTTAATCACAGTACTATTTTTAATAATAGATTTGAATGATTGGATATTCTTTTGATTATTTTCTGATAAGGGAAATTTTAAGAAATTTTCATAAAAATGACTTTTTTTCATATTTTTTTGATTCTTATTAATAGTCAGTTTGAAATCTTCAGCCTTATTCACAGCTGCTTATTGTGTCATGTGGAATTGCTTTATTAAATCCTTTTGTTATTCAGGTACTGTACTAATTTTCTATTGATTAAGAGAAAAGATGAATTTAAATTTGATAAAAAAAATTTTTGAACGAGCTGAATAGTCCAAACAGTGAGGCTTTTGCATTCATAAGGTTGTCGTAATTTAGAATGGAAGTATATATCGATTGATGAAGTTCGAAGTTGAGTTTGGTCGTTCGAATACAAAACCGCGATTGTTGGAACGGGAAGTATTCATTATATCTATGTTTGTTGTTCTTTTTTGTCCCGCATTTTAAAATAATTCTTTGATTCTACATGGAATTACACTTAGACTGTTGTGTCGTTTTATTTTGGGAATTGTATTTTGTGAGTTAATCTTCTTAGATCTTAATTGGTCTTATTGGCAAGCTAGCTATTAATTAAAAAGTGCTAAACTGAAGAATTTGTCTTTTAATCACTTCAGATGTTCAATAAGCTTTTCTTTCAGTGGCAAGCACATAAAAAAATATTGCCTGACATTTAGTTTATCATTTCTTTCTCTGTAACCAGCAACAGAGCAGCATTTATTGAGTGAGATTTGTTCCCAAAACAAATAGAGTTTCGATAATTTTTGCTTTTCAAAGTGTTTGACTAAATATTGAGTACTTCTGGAGAAGTCGTGAATACATTAACAGTTACGAATCTTTAAACATGTCGTATTATATTTTTTCAGCTATAATGCGTTATATATAGCAGTGTTGCGCAGTGGCATTCGTGATTCCATCAGTTCCGATATTGCTTTGTACAAAATGAGTATGAATGGAACGGAGGTACCAAAACTTGCTCACATTTTGCATTTGGATATGGTCGGTGCCTTTGCCTTGCATGGATTTCATAACTTGGTTGTTGTGCATCATCAAGTAATATTATGAATTGGAATTTAATCTGTCACAGCTCATGTAGTCGTCGTGTAGGAGCATTATTTTGTTAGATAAGGAATGAGAGCATTATTTATGTTAAAAGATTATAGCAAATACCATATGTTAGAAGATTCTGACAGATTGACCGTATTCGCACTCTATCCAACCTGCCACAAAGAATATGATCTGCTGACACATTCATCACTGTCTTTTCAGAGTTCAAAAACGTCATTAATTTTCGATATTGGTTTGGAAGAAGTTTCAAAAGCTGGTTGTATTTTGTACCCCCTTTATAAAACTTCTTTAAAATGTACGGATTCGCTGCGGGCCAAATTTAGTCACGAATTCAAATTATACAGTCCTTTTTGGGTTATGTTTCAGCCAAATTTTATTACGGATGCAAGCATTGGTGTTTTCACATCAGTGTCAATAGACCCAACTGAAGCTGAAAATTATATTGAAGACAAAGTAATTCTTTTACCTTTGATTCCACTACTTAATCTACAAATTAATATATTTTTTTTGATGGCATTCAAACCTGATAAAAAGTTCACAAAATGAAAAAGTAGGAGTTAATTTGTTATTTATATCAGTGAAATCCTTTCAGTATCAGTATTTACGTTTCCTGTATAATAGATGTATTCCAAAGTCGGTGTTCCTGAAAATTTTGAGACATTGCGTAGTTGCTAATAAGCTGAAATTGAAACAACTGGAACATGTTTTTAATTGGTTCGCGAAAGCGATTGCTAAGCGTTTTTTACCAACTTCGAGACACGGCGGTAATTCCATTCTGTATTTCACCTTCACTTTTTTTACTTTTCTAATAGTTGTGATAGTTGGAATGCAGAAATATTGTTTTTAGTAATGTAATATGTTAATAATGTTTAATAATGTGTTTTAATAATTTTTAATAATATCATTATATTAATTTATTTTCAAGCCGAAGTTTTCTGGAGATTTAAGTTAGATCTTTGAGATTTCCTCGGAGATTTTAATCGCGTTTTCCTAAGGTCATTTGTTATCTAATTTAGATAAGCTTCATTTCCTAAAGTGGAAAATAGAGGAGTGTGTTCCATTTTCTTCCCCTTTTTTGGTATTGTTGGACTGTGTGGCAGAGTGAAAAGTATTATCTCTAAAAGAAAGGATTTTTCGAATTCTGCAGACAGTGGTATAAAATATGTTTTGATGGCCGAACAATATGAAGAAATTGCTATTGAACAGGGAGACATTGTGAGTAATTTATTCCTGCTTCCGGATGATTATACGTTGGATCAGAAACAACGTTTTCTTCAATATATGTTGCGCTATCTTATAGCTTTGCGAGAAAACAAATTAGAAGTTCAGGTTCACTTATTTTTTCAACCATCTGTTCAATTCAGCTTAGCCATCCCACAATTCATTAACATGAGGCCGAAGTTAGATAAAAAGATTAGGAGAGAATCCTTATTCAATTCATACCAATTAATGTGACTCTTCCCAAAGTAAGTGTAATAGAAGGTCAATAGTTCCTGTTTTCGGAGTCTATTTTTTATGATCCCAGTCCTCTTTAGAAATGGAGTTGATGGCCAAATGCTACTGCACTTTTCTCTTTAACCTATTCATGTATTTCGTGGAAGTTGAATTTTTTCTAGCAACGGGTGAACTTTATAAACTCAATATACATGAAACCCAGCTGGAAAGAAATTTATTATTCGTAAAACAAGAATTAAATCTAAAACATTCATAAGGTTTCTTGATAAATATGAATCCAACGATTTTTTGCTATTTTTATTGTAATCAGTGTTTTAGCCTTACTTTCTAAATGAAATATTGGTACCCAATATGATTACAATGGGACAGTTAGGAAGACTTCATCAGCTTCTTCTATACCGCATTATTCCAGACTCCAAACAGCTAGTTTGTTTCACTAATATTTTTAAAATTTACTCATCGATAGTTTTACCAATTCAGCTTTTTTTGCTTTGATGATGAATCAGACAGGTTCACTTGGGAACTATAGTGAACACTGTCTGATTCATAGTGGAATTGAAAGTTCCCATTTCAATTTCAATTATCTGTTATTTTACGCTTTCACGCTGGAGTTAAACCAAAAGAAGTTCGTATCTTCCAAGAATTCCTTTACTCTTTATTTTTAGGCATTTCAACTTCTTTCTCATGAAGCAAAATATTCTCCATTGGTTCAGCTCGCTCTGGATATGCTGTATAGGCTTGGCACTGCTACCGAAGAAATTGTTGAGATTTTAATAGCTAGAAGTCTGGTTGTAGAAGCTATAAGGTTGAACACATTGTAATTTTATCAAATCGATTCCAAAACAAGATTTTATAATAAAATTAAAACCGGAAGACAAAAAGCATGTATTGATAGAATTTGCAGATTCTTGGAGAGTTTACAATCAACAGATAAGGTGAATGGTTTAAAGCTTATTGAGAGTGCTTGGAAGGAAAATCGACTGATTCGTTACGCTGTCTTTTCACACTTTCTTGAACGTGGTTCGAAAGCTAGAAATTGCATTGCGAATTGTTAGTTTCTCTCTGCTTACATTGTTTAGTTGGTTAATGCGAAGTTGTTTTGTTCATGTTTGAATAAATGAAACATCTTTATAATAAACATGTAATGATTTAACGAAAAGCAATTACTTTGCTTTCAGCCGGACAGTTCGAAGAATTTTTGAAGAAATTCGAAGTTCTATTTGACAACGATGAGATTGAAGCTGCCAAAAGAGATTTTTACTTCATGAATACTTCCTGAAATGCTGCAGCAGAATTTGAAATTCTGAACTGCAAACAACTCCGTTTTCCCCACAGTCTCATTATATGAAGAGTTCAATTGAAAGTAATAGAATAACGTAGATACAACACTGCAGTCAAGCAGGTTCAGGGACCTGCTTGATAATTTTTATATTAGTTCAAGAAATGACAATTTCATTACACGTCATATTTAGTCTAGAATAATCAGACTCGATTCATTTAATTTTTCAGCATTCCTGTCCTTCACTAACATTGCCAATCATCGATTGTGTCGCATTGCTTACAAACATCTTTTAAAATATGTAGTTTTTGTCATTTTCGTTTCGAAAAACACTTCACACATTTCACTTTAATGGTTTTGTCCATTTGAATATACGAAAATAATGCAATGATATATAATTTAGATCCAGCTCGAACAATACCATTAGCGACGTTTATTTCAATGTTTGTCGTAATAGTTGCATATATTCTTATAACTTCAGTATTTAACATTAATGATTCCATTTTGGGAAGGAATTAATACAATTCTAATTCTCTTTCAAGTTTATATAAGTTTTGAAGTAAAATATTTTACAACAGTGAAGTAAAAATTTGTTAAGATTAAATATCAAAACATGTGTTTCGCAGAAAAGCAAATTTTTTTCGATATCAATACCCATACAAGGATGCACGAATATTTTGTGCTCTGTATTAAATAGTACATTACGATAAGAAATAAGTCAATCAATAAGCTTTTTCTCATGACAGTTGTACCAATCCTTGCGAGAAAGGCAGAACAGAAAATTCTTTTTAAAAAAAAAGCTAGGAGTGCAGTTAAAAACTTCGTGTCATAATTCTGAATGCATTCTTTACAAAATATTAATTTTTTGCAACATTATTGAACTCTGCACTTTCATTATGATGATCAGGTCTTGCAAATTAAGTTTTTCAGCATATTCAAGTGGTGTTAAATCGAAATGATCTCGTTTGTTTGGATCGGCACCTCGATCAAGCAAATAGTATAGCAATTGCTCATTTCTCGATTCCACTGCCTGTAAGATATTTCCACTGATTATCCAGTTTCCTCACCTTTGTATCGTAAAAAAGTCAACTTTATATTAAGAAGTATTCACTATGCAACTGAAAGAAAACTAACAATATGTAGAGCAGTCTTGCCACTGTAATCCTGTTGATTTATATCAGCTCCGGCAGCAAGCCAGGAATCCAGTTTCTCTATATCACCGCAATTGGCGCATAGACACAGTTCAACCCCTTTAAATTTGTTTAATAAAAAATTAAACATTTAATAAGAGGATGGCTAGTATTCTATTCAGACAAACTTTTATAAGGGCTTACCTAGTCGGAATGAGTTTACAGAAAGTACTGCTCCTGCAGACCTCAAAATCTCAATGCAGACTTTGTTTTTTGTTCTTACTGCAGCTACAAGGGCGTTTTCATCCCACTGATCCCTGTAAGATATAAATCATCATGACAAAGTTTATGAATCCTTCCTGCAGAGGTTTTGTGGGTGGATTTTAATATTAAAAACATAAGATCGATAACTATAAAGGAAATAAGAAATATGGCTGGAGTGTTGAGTGAGGCTTATAAAGGACTCTGACATAGTCTATGTAAGAATAGCATAACTAATATTTGGCATATGCAAGAACGCAGCACGATTTCCTTTGCCACTATCTCTTAAATGCTTTTCATATGATTTCTCACCTAAGCTGGAAACTAACACCTTGGATCAACAGGTACTTAACGGCATTAACGTGCCCTGCACTCGCTGCTATATGTAAAACATTGCGTCCATTATAGTCAATAGCCGAAAGATCGGCTCCATTTTCGCGAAGTGCATTAAGCAACTCCACATCACCAGTATTAGCTGCATGGCATAGCAATTGAGGTAAGAGAGCATGGCGGAGAAATCTCATTTCATGAGAAGTACTTATATGCAGAAACTTTGCCATCTGTGAAACTGAAATACTTCAAATTATGGTTTTAAAAAAAATATAATTTTCCAAAATGGGAAAAAAATTCAGTGGAAAACTATAAAATCTTTTTAATGGTTTTCATAAAATTCAATAAATTTTTTTCTGGGTCTCCACCAATTTCAAGGTTCCTGAGTGGCTTTGCTTTTGTAACGGTTAGTTCGCCTCTGATATTTTCGATCATCATTGCTTTCTTCTTTGAAAATTCCCAACAGTCTTTGCTCAGTACATATGATAATTTCGTTAATGCTGCTTCCGCAGTCATATCTGAACCAGGAATTACTCCTATATCAAAAAGAACCTGAAAAATAAGTGGAGAATGAAATGAAAACTCAACGATTAAGACATGATTTCGCAGATAAAAATACATCTTAATAACAAGTGATGAGCTTGGCAAATTTAATTGGTTCTGGTACTTTTCCTAATCGCAAACTGTGCCAAGCAGCAAAAATTAAACGAAGAAAGAAGGTAAAGAGGAAGCGCTTGCATTTAGTCATGATTTTATTATTTTTTCGAGTGGTCGAATAAATTTGTGTCAAAATTAAAATTTAGAATTTTCTTAGATAAACATAACATGAATGTGAACATAACATATTAACCTTTCCTGTTAAATATTGAACGTCCACTTGTCCCCGGACACACTGCGAGCAATTAATAATAATACATCCTCGATCAATAGCTTTTTTCAACTCATCTATTATATCTGTTCTGTGGGATGGCATATTACCAGCACCAAATGTCTGCAGGACAACACCTTCAACGGGTGGTTGCAAGGATGCTCTAACCTAAAAGTTCACGTTCACCGCAGCTTCTTTTTTGAAATTAGAAATATGAAGAAAAATTAACGGGTCTTTCAGTTATTTCAAGCAAAGATTTTTTAAATCCTAAAAAAATATTTTTCTTCGGTCTCTTAAAAAATTCTGTGAATTTTAATGGAATATATTGACCAATGTACAAGTGCTGCAAATGCGTCTGCACTTGCAAACTCATTCATGTTCATCACAATATAAATCTTATAGCACAATGACTTACATTTTCTATGGGAATTGATGGAAAAATTCTCAATAGTCCAACATTTCGACATAACTGGTCGTGCAATACAAATGGAGCCAGTGAGGGGAAGCGAAATATGGAATCATAATTAACTACAAAAGTTACAATTTCTTGAAAGTGTATTCAAAAAATACTAAAACTGCGAAGTTGAATCAAATGAAACAGTAAAAGGCGAAGTAAAAGAAATAGAATTGATTCCACCAAACCACACCAATTTTTTACAGAATCAGTTACTACTCGCCTTTTATATCAACATCCATGTGAGCAATTGGAGGCACATTCGGACTTTCAAAAGCCTCCATCGAGCTGTTATCTATTTTTACCGTACGATTTCCCCGATATAGCTTATTATTAAAAAATACAGTAACTTCAGGAATATCATAATAAGCTGCCATAATCAGCGCTCCAATCAAATTTTCCCGACCATCAGAACGAACCTCAAATACTGGTATCTGCAAAATATCAACACAGCAATAATCTATCTTTCAAAAAAGAGTCATGCAGTAAATTTCTTCAGAATTTTAAGAAGGTTCTAAAAGTGATGTTTTCCAGTAATTATGGAAATGAAACTATCACACCACTATATGAAATGATAATGATGATTATAAAAAAATTTCCTACTATATCAGCTTGATGTTTGCTAGCATTAATGCAAATCACTCTCATTTAATTAAAAATAAAAAAGGGAAATAGCGTTCGAACTGCACATTTATCTATAAAGAGCAAATTTCAATTATGAAATAAATTGAGACCATAGGAGAGTCTGAGAAACTAAAATTTATTGGATCAGGTGGTTGCTTACTTGCGCCCCTGTGATAACAACGGGTTTTCCCAGATTCTCGAGCATAAATGATAGAGCACATGCTGTATATGCTAGTGTGTCAGTGCCATGCAATATAACAAAGCCCACATATTGATTATATGCTTCTTGAATATTCCTACCAATTTTAATCCAATCATCAAATGTCATGTCTGATGAATCCAAAAGTGGATCATATTCGACCATCTGAAAACTGAGCTTTGATAGACCTTGGTGTTATATAGATAGCTGTAATAATGTAGCCTTTCAGCCCTCATTATCCTTTCCTCAAATAAAATACAAATAATTAGCAAGTGTTCGACACAAGTTATAATAATTCAAAACACGGTGAAAAGTTGGATCAAGGAAAATCAGTCCGTTAGATTAGGAAGAGAGGAGAAGAATTCAGATTTCAGAAAAACTAGAGCTCTAAAGCTCTAAACCGAATAAATAAATTGAACTCATTACCCAATAAACAAGACGTTTTTTTGAATGCTGTAGCGGTGGCAAACAGTATGGCTTTATTTCCCAATCAGCATAGTTTGTAGACACATAATCATAATCGTTCAATAGCGGCAAATCACGCATAGCACGCAGAAGATAATTAGCCTCTGGGCGATACACTGAAAATTATTTTCTTAAACCAACGCTTTTTTTATTGCAGCATACAATATCATGATTAAAGAAAATAGAAACATCATAATTGATTTCATTTTTTAGTTACGGAGCACAAAATGCTGCTACTACCAGAATCTGCTAGCAGAAAGTATAAAAACATAATGTTTAGACCTCCACCAATACATTTCATCCCAATTGTTCCACCCGTGTACAGCACTAAAACACGTGCCTCTTTCCCTTTACCCTGCATTGCATCAATGATATCTGTTCAACTGTTCGATCTTCCGATACTTGATAACTTAGTTGCTGCAAAATAAATAATTCTTATAAAAAATTTCAAAATCTGTCCCCCAACAATTTCATATTGAATTCCGCTTCTTCTCAGTCCGCCGGCTCCACTAGATGAACATTAGCAACTACACACAATATACTTGCAGATGTCAACATACATTGCTCGTTCGAACATTTTACTATAAATGCTACATGTGAATCCTTTTTATCACTTAATAAAACAATCAAAGTAAGATGTGTCAAACGGAACGAACCACGTTCATGTTCTATATTCTGATGTGGCAGAACAAAACTACTACTTGAACTTTGAAAATACGCATAATCTAAGATTTCGTTACCTATATCTCTTGCACATCTGAAAAGCTCTTCAATGTAACCAGTTAATCCTGAAATGGCAGTGGACAACGATTCTGGATAAAGCCTTCAGCATAACAATGATCAAACTTCATCAACACGAAAACTGAATAACCCATCAAGAAACCAAAGCAATATGATCAATTTCATATTACCTTTTCACATCTGATTTCTTTCTTTCCACCATAAATGATTGTGAATTCATTAGCCAAATACAGCACTTTACTAGTGTTTGTGGAAGTAGATGTTTAGAAGTACTCATATCCTTAGTTTATTAAAAGATATCAGTACCGCATTCTGTAACATTAAAACCAAGTTCATTTCAATAAAATAATCTATACAATGGAGTTTTCAATAAAATAATCTATACAATCTCTAAATAAAAAGTATCAGTTTCTTTTCAAAAAAATATCAACTCCTATGATGTTGAATGATGAATTGAACTGTATAAATTAAACTGAATTGAACTCAATTGAACTGTATAAAAGCAATGAATTGAACTGAATCATATAGTATAAAAGCTGAACTGAATTGAGCTGCACAAAAGCATTGAAGTGAATTGCATAAAAGCTATTGAGGAGACAATGATCTAATACTGAAAAAGACTTTTAATCCAGAAAAGCCTCAAGGGAAATTCAATATAACGCACTTCAACTTTATAAAGATAATGTACCAAAACATGCTGAGAAACATTAGTATGAATACTATTAAAATATCATTCTTAGTATTTGAATCATCGCTTACAAAACTTACAAGACAAAAGATATCGTATGAAATACTATGATACACAGCCAAATGGAGAAGAGTAACTGTGTTTGAATTAAAAAATGAACATCACCTTTCAGATATTAGAAAGAATAAAGAATTGTATGAAAGCAATCGAGATATCACATCTTTGATGCCCACACCTAGAAGATAAGAACATAACATGCAAGATGAATTTGAAAAGGCCATATTAAAATTGCTATAGAAAGAAACACTACTGCTTTGCAGATATTTGGAAGCTTCAAACGACTTCTTTAGACCATATCATCATTATAGACCAATACGGATTAGTGCGCTCCAATCTTATTTCATGTAAGTGATGATCCTGAACTACGAGCACTTTCATATTCTTTTTTAACATAGTCCACTAAACTTTGAGAGGATTCGACAAGCTGAAAAGAAACATTTTTACGTTTCCTTAAATATATTTTGTCCGATATACTTTATGCATGATATACAAGGTTACCAAACGTATTGTGTGGAGAACAAAATTACTCCAGTATGATTAATCAACCTCATTATAGATCATTTCATGTTAATGACAATGGACTATCTTCCATCAAGAACATTGTACGCTTAAATATGAATACGTTTCACTTAATGAAACCGTATGCAGTTTCCTAGACATCTCTTTCCAATCGAATGGATATTGAGACCCCCGGTAGAATATTAGAGTGAGACTTATACGTGATAAGTTAACGAGTAAGACAGAGCAAATTCACACATTTATCTGAAATTACTGCAGTCACACACTTTTTCATATGTTTCATTCGCATGCGCTACCGTTCTTTCCAAACGTGAACAAATCTCCTCCTCTTTTCCTATTCTCGCATCTAGCGCGTTGAGTTTCGAATGCAGTTCATCAATCTGAATAACATTGAAATTAATCAGGACGACATAACCTATAACCTTTACTGGATTATAATTACTTTATCATCAAATTGTAAAGATTCTACTACCTTGCATTTATTTTAAACTAAAATGTACGCATTAAAAATAGCTAATCAATATACCTGTAATGAGATTAATTCTCGCTCCTTCTTCAAATGGCTAATGATATCTTCACTTGCTTTTCTTTGCTCTCGTAAACCATCTAGATCTAAATTACACGAACGAAACTGTGACAATCAAATTGTAAGCATTCATTCGTTGTAATACAGCCATTTTTATAAAAAGAAGTCCTTTCCGAAGAGATTTATATGCTGCGCACTGCAACAATAAAGTTGCGTACTGCAACTGCAACACATACTGCAACAAAAACAGAAAAGCACAAAGCATATGATCAAAGTGACATACATCTCGATATATCCTCCAGCTGATATCCGATTCTTGCCGACATTTCCAATGAACTTTTTTCCGCGATAACTTTCTTCTTTGATTTCTAGAATTTTTGACTAAATTTTGCACCTCAGACTTCCACTATTATTCCTCATTTCTAATTTCAATTATGCATCATTATCATTTCTTAGTGGGTAATTTGAGTTGTCGCAGAAATACCTTCATCAAACTAGATTTCATCCTCGAAATGCATAATACCCAGTACTTGTTATATTAATGGTTGGTTTCATACAACGATGTTATTTCTGTTCAAATATTAATTAATCAAATTCAAACATTCAAACCTCACCCCAAGACCCCCGGGGTACTCAACAGCAAGCAAACAGTCCTTGTTAAAAATGTCTGTTGAAAGAAGGACGTGCCATCTTCAACCACTTAAAAAAGACTGCGACCCGGGCCAGAATTTTTCAAAAAATATCAAACCTCGTAAGCATTTAAAGATTTTGTGGCATTCTAGGGTTGAATGGAAGGCAGTGATGATAATCAAGGGATTTCATTCATTTAGACGTTATTGACTCTTAGGTGTGTGGTCAAAAAGTTTAAATGGATAAAAGACATGAAAGAGCACGTAATGCATTTTGAGAGATGAAGGATTGATTGAAATGGAAAGATGAATGGGTTGTCCACGTCCACTCCATCATTTCCTACCATGTATGTTTCCATCTTTAAATCTTCATTATTTACATAATTGAAGTAATCAGTTTATATTCTTCCTTAGATTCATTATAAAAGTACCGTGCTAGCATTGCGTGTAGTACTTCATCGATTGATCCTTACCGCGCGGTTGACTTTTCCACCTATTGGCTTCACTTCCTCGTACTTTCTGATGGTATCCAGCTGGATCGAGTAAGTTTATGTTATCGTCCCGTTTTCTGATTTTGGATTGTATCAAGTATCTCTACCAATTCAGTCTGCATATGTGCAACAATCATTTCACAGAGTAATTAATCCTTTCAGTTCAATCATCTAAAGCTTTTGGATAAGGTCACTGTACGAGGTAAATTTGCTTTCTTCCATTTTTCATCTCAACACATCTTATTGTTATTCATTTCAAGAACATTACCGAAAGAATCAGTTCTGTTGACGAGCTGGTATTTAAATGCTTGAAGTTTAAATGTTCCTTAAAGAATTCACTAAAAGCATAATGTCACACATCCGGAAATATTAAGAACTCTTGCTCTTTCTCTTTCTATTTATATATCGACTTTTTTGAATTTGTCAGCCCTTCATGTAACATTAAATGTGGTCTACTTCATTTATTCACTTTGTGGTAGAAGTAACTGCTACTGAGTGAGATGCAGTTTTGTCCACTGATGTTTTGACAGAATCCTCTCATAGTTCAGTGATTCGCTTCACTTCGCATTTATCTTTTTGGACTCTTAAATGCAGCAAAGAAACCGTATGAAATTTTCAGTTTTGCTGCAATTCATTTTCATGGCACCCATCGTCTCCTCTTCTCCTTCCTCTTCCACTTCACTACTTATGCATATCAATATTATTAGTAATCTAGCAGCATTTCGTAGTCATAGATGCATTGCATTGCTGATAAGACGGATGTTTTTTTAAGCCGCTTTTAGCGATCAATACAGCAACAAGCTGATAAATTTTATAAACCGTGCAAATTCTTTATTCTTCTGCCACCTCGATTCCGTACTTTCATAAACTTTATGTGCTTTTGTTTCTGTTCCACATTTTATCGGCTGTAACTATTGATTGACATTTGGAAATTTAATTATTTTTCCAACCAACTGCGAAATAATGGATAGTAAAATTCAAACTGATTCAAATGACTTAAAAGCATGTTTCATATTTAGTATTTTCATAATCCAAATGGCAGAGCTCTACGCAACTGTCATTCTTTTCTTTACCGCTTTATTTTACCCTTATCGCATGCCTTTGGAAATTTAAGATTAAACCTCCTCCAAGAGCGTTAAATTTGTCAAATTTAAAGTAATGGAATAGACGTATACATTCTCTAGGCTTCTAGCAAAAGCAGTTTGCGTAATTTTCACTCAAATTATTAGATTTTCAATAAACTTTCGGTTCTTCTTCAAAATCGTTACACATTTGAACACAGTTCAGCTTATTAGAAATTTTTTAAGATTATTCCATTTCTCTAACCAATAATATGACTGATATCTGAATGAAGAAGACAAACAATACGAATACTGTGTTTTCACAGTAATTTTACTAATCTAAAAACTCACACTAAAAAAAGCAAGTCGTTCTATTTGTCAAATAAATTGGCGTACGTCAAACAAGCTTGTCATGATAATGTGTCTGATATGGTTAAATTTTCATAAGAGCACCTCACTTCGCAGCTCTTTTTGGTGGATTTTGCTTTATAAAAGAAAAATGCACGAACGTATAAGAGAAAGAGGAAGATGAATGAATGGTTTGGGAAAATGTGGATATATCTGGTTTCAAAATGTCTCCCATTAAAATCGAGGGATGGGGGTCGTTCCAATGCTTCCTATTTTTTGATTGCATACCAGTATTTATGCTTTAAAGCATGAGAAACTCTGCCTATTAAACGTTGGTGGCTATGTTTGAGAATGGGCTAGGAATTCTTACTCTATTTTATTGAATAATATAAGATTGCCGCTCCATATAGCTTTGAGGAGTCAAAAAATGAGGACAATTACTGATCACGAATGAATAATATATTGATGATATAACGGTACTAATGAAAGAATAATAATTTGTAGAACAGTCTTATTAGTCCTTTATTAGTTTGATGTTGCCTTATTAAAGTGCAGTGTTAACTTTCTCGCTTTTCATTTTGTTTTCGATTTGGTCCATTACTTAATTTTCAAACAGTTGATTCAAATGTGATGAGTTTCATCAGAACTATCTAGTGTTGATGATAAAAACATGATGATAACAGAGCTGCTTAGATGGACTTTTATAAAAAACTGATTACAGTTCTGGTTATAATCATTCATGGATTGAGCTTCAGAAATTTAAACCGCGATCTGTTACTGCTTGATACCTTTGAGGTTATTTGTCCCCCATAACGATAAATTGTTCAGCTGAACAATTTCGGCTGAACAAATTTGAGATTTAAGCTATGAAGTTCTAGAAGTGAAAAGTTTCGCTCAGGCAACCAAAGTCGTTTAGCAGAATGTCGTGCTGCATAACTGATTCCGAAATGACATTTGGGAAGAAATAATAGGTCTGAAAAATATTGTTTTGCTCTATTGGTTCAAAACAGGGTATGTTTCATATAATTTGACAAAACGAAAATGCGGAAGATATAAACTTAGGAGAAAAAATTGCGTCCTGCATTCCCGCGACGGAAATTGAAAAAGCTCGAACCAAGTAAATGTGTGCACCAAGAGAGAATATTATGCCCTCCGGATCATATAAGCCTTCTCTTTGCTGCTTCCAATCTTCCGTTGAACATATTCAAAAAATAATCATTAATGCAAAATTTCGGAGAAAGTGCAGTCAGTACTTGGTGAGGAGCTCCGAATGTGAACAGATATTTATGTTTTTCACGATCGATTATAAACTTTGTTTTACCGGTGTGGCGACTTTGGTCTTGCAGGTTTTTAAACAGAGCTGCAAGCAAATTTCATGAACGCTTCTCCCCAATCAATATATCCACAAAAACACGACCTGGTTACCACTTCGGTGTATTTCAATTCAATATAACTCTGTCTTGTCTCCTTGCACTATAATCCGATGACTAATGTGATGTTCTTTATTTTATTCGCAAAATCTTCATTCATCCAGCCTCAAACTGAACACCAGCAGAGCAGCACGTAATTTTTCATACTTGGTCGTTAATTTAATTTCGAGCTTTTTGCATGTGCTCTTTTTCGTTAGTGACAGCATAATGCAATATGTATCAGTAAATGCGTCCAGGCTTGTGAAAACCGTGGAAGGGAGAATAAAAACAGGGCAGTTTGAAATGCTTACGTCTAACTCTTCAGAAGTTATTAGGCTTGCCGACGAGAGCACTTCAAAAAGCTTTATGATGGACCTACAACTGGAGCCAGAAATTCAGCACATTGAATCATTCGTCCATAAAATGACCTTGTCCAACCCGTCCCATGTTTTACAATTTTAACCTCTCACATAATCTGCTGCTTGAACTTCACTTTCACAAAACTTTACTAAATAAATAGAGACAAATGAACAATATGGTTCTAATTAAGTACTGGGTGTTACTCATCGGAAAGCACTAAACTTGCAACTCCAATTGGGGCATAAATGATACTTACTGTAATGATTTTCCCTGCACGCACCTTTTTTCGAATAAACTTCCAAATATAATTGGAAAATTTTCCAAATTATTTAACATCTGTTCATATCGATGATGGTGGTCCAAAGGATCATTGCTTGTATTGTTTCATATATTTCTTCCCATAAAATGCCTCACCACTTAGTAGAATCACCCACCTTTATATGATGCCAAGAGAGCGCAAATGTCCTCACCAGGTGGCTAATCATTACGTGACTCCCACGTAGCCTCAAAATATCAATATTGCCTGCGTAACGCGAAAACAGCACTGGCCCAGCATAAGTTGTCGTTTCGACATATTCGCTCCAAGTTTAATCATTCTCTATCGCACTTCCTTCTCGTCTGCTCCGCGACAGAGAGTTAAGAGGAGAAGCTGTTTCCATGGCAACAGCACATTGCGCGACGCAATGCTCACTTCACTCATTTATTTCGCGGATGGCTGTCAGTAAGCCTCTTTTCATTCTCTCATCAGTCTTCTAATCTCACTTCCTGTGGCCCTTTTAATAAATTATTTTCTTTATATTTCATATTTTCTTTCAGCTTGAATAATTTTTTGCCCTGTCTCTCTTTTATCTCTGTTGTGCATTACTTTCCTACCAATCAGCTACTTTCCCTCCATCTGTCTGTTTCATTGTCGTCTTGCATTGTATGTGACAGCAGTGATGCTGAACTATACGGAGAATTGTCTTTTCGAAAAGTTTTTTCTATACTTCCTCGCTCTCATATTTCCTCTTAGTCTTTTCTATTTCCACTGCTTCTTTTTTTCACTATCGCTTAGCAGTCTGGAAGAATCTGAATGACACAACCAATGGGCATCCTCTTGTCAGATAATAGATCTTCTCTTCTTCCCCTCCTTCTCTTTCTTTGTACAACCCTTTCAAGCACCCATCCTCCTTCCTTCATCTTCCTCTTACACCCCACCCCATTGCCC